TGTGTTTCTGAAGAAACTTGCAAATCCTGTTCCAGTGTCGTTGGGTACTGCGCGATGCGGGCTTGCACAATCTTGTAAAGAATTTCTGCTGCTTTGCCAGTCATTTTCTCAGCCTTGGGCAGTCTGCCCTTACTCTGCAGGCGCTCAAATTCTTCGCTTGGCAACAGCATGGTCTCAACCAATATGACAAGTTCTGGCGATAGGCTTTCTTCGAGTGAAAAAGGAACACTGGCAGCAATGTCATACCCTGTGTCGACTATTTCTTGTTCGTCCAGATACTCGATCCTTTTCTCATGCCATAACCCATCATGAGCTAGCGCCTGTGAGACCAGATCTGCTGGGATCTCGACGACATCGTACTGCGCGTAATTTTCGGTGATATACCCATAACGCCTTAAAAGGTCACTCCTAGGCAGCGGGCCATAGTCATTGAATATCTCTTCTCCTGCTTGAATTGGTTTCAGCGCCTTCATCTCCAGGCCATCTTTCTCGTAGAAAAGACGGGCATTGCATCGATCGGCGTCGGCGTTTAGCATGTCGGCCAGCGGTACCATTCCTTTGGGGAGCGCAGCATCTTCCTCTTCCTCGGCAAAGCCTTCCTCGTCCACCTCTTTATCTGAGATTGCAGGCTCAACATCAAAAGCATATGCCATGATCAGACTCCCCATTTTGTGCATGAGCTCCAAATTCTCTGGTGCGCGCATTTCTTTGGCCAGGTCCTTAGCTCTCTCGTCGCCACTGAATATGACATCCGCAAATTCTTCAATCACAGGTAGCAACTGCTCAATGAAGACTTCATTTGCCCCCTCTTTGCCAATCTTGTTCACTACAGCGCTTGCCTGCAGTTCCGTCAACTCGTCTTCCGTCCAGAACATGAGGGTATCAAAGTCGGTGGGTAGCACGGCGAAATACGGAGCCCAGTTTGAGGCGGATCCATTGTGGTACTCATAAAGCATAACAAGGATGAGGGAAAGCCAGGGACCAAGGAGTGCGAAGGTGGTGGGAGGGATCTCGGTAGAGAGGATGCTGTTTTCTACGCTGAGAATGGAGGAGCGGGGTATGCTGAAGAGAAGCTCATGCTCGGCAATGTCCTGCTTCGCAGCTGTCACATGTGTCAGTACAGGCTTCATGCATAGTAATACTCGAAAAAAAGACGACGTGAAAGTAGCTTAGTGTGCCTCATCATGCATGTTACTTACCGACGCCTCGTCCTGCATCTTTTGCGCGCAGGTCCTCCAGTTGTATTTTTGGATTAATCTGCGCACCAGTATGCTTCAGCCAATCCAAGAACGCCCGACTGGTATCATCGAAGTCCGCCATAGAGAAAAGTGGTGTTGCGATGTGGGAGGCTTGGTGGCTGGGATTGTTCTGGTGGATATTATTTAGCGGTTGGGAGCCGAGGCTGCGCTTATTGGCTGGTGTGGGTTATGTACTGGGGTGTGAAGTATCTGCAACACTCCCACCGAAGATTGATGCTTGAAATGTATTGAAAAGATCAAGATGGATAGATAGCCTTTGAGCGGGTTTGTACCGTAGCACGAGTGGGCAAAATCTCGAAGGGGTTTTTTGTTTATGGTAGCGATTGGCAGACCCTGCAAAACCTGACTCGCTAATGTGACGTCTGCTAGTCGAAAGCCTTGAACTGCTATCTCAGCAGTTTTTAGTCGGGAGCCAAGACACAATTTAGAGATGTTGTCCGAAATTTTCCCAAGTCCAAAACTTTCATAGAATCTTGAATGTCTTTGCCACAGTTGTGGATCGCTGAATCCAGCGACCCGGGCTGTGGTTCAAATCTCGTGCTTTATCGATAAGCATTTTCAACCAAACCCACGTCACCCCGCATCGCTCGACGCGTCAAACACCCGACGACAGCGTTCGATACAATGATTGCCATAGGTCTTGAGGGAAGCGCCAACAAGATAGGGATTGGTATCATATCTCATCCTGGGCCGAACAAACCACCCACAATACTCGCAAACCTGCGGCACACGTATAATTCCCCACCTGGCGAAGGCTTCCTGCCAAAGGACACCGCGATACACCACCGGACATGGGTCGTGCGGCTCATAAAGCAAGCAGTGCGACAAGCTGGTGTGAAGGTTGAAGACATCGATTGCATATGTTATACAAAAGGTCCTGGGATGGGCGCGCCATTACAAAGTGTCGCGCTTGCCGCAAGAACAATAAGCCTACTCTGGAATAAGCCTATGGTTGGTGTGAACCATTGTGTTGGACGTTAGTATATCCTTTGCTTCTCAGCAAATAGTGTAATGCTGATGCGATGCAGACATTGAAATGGGGCGTTCAATAACACGCGCTGACAACCCTGTCGTCCTTTACGTCTCTGGTGGAAATACCCAAGTAATTGCTTATTCTGCACAACGCTATCGGATCTTTGGTGAGACTCTGGATATTGCAATAGGAAACTGCATAGATCGATTTGCCAGGACGCTTATGATACCCAATGACCCCTTCCCAGGTTACAATGTTGAGCAGTTGGCAAAGAAGGGGAAGAATTTAGTCGACCTACCGTATGGTGTTAAGGGCATGGATGCCAGTTTCTCAGGAATATTGGCGGCAGCCGACCTCCTTGCACGCGGCTTAGACGAGTCGTTACCTGACGAAAAACGACTAAAAACCGAGGACGGAGAACTCGTAACAAAGGCAGACATGTGCTTCTCGCTCCAGGAGACCATATTTGCCATGCTGGTCGAAATTACAGAGCGTGCCATGGCACATGTTGGTTCTCAGCAAGTCCTAGTTGTAGGCGGTGTGGGTTCGAATTTAAGGTTGCAGCAGATGATGGGCATGATGGCAAGGGATCGTGGCGGCAACGTATTCGCCACTGACGAGATGTTCTGCATCGACAATGGCATCATGATTGCACATGCAGGCTTACTGGAGTATGGAACGGGCGTGATAACAAAGTTGAGCGATACGACATGCACGCAACGTTTCAGAACGGACGAAGTCTATGTAGGTTGGAGAACTGACTAAGGTATGCTTTTTTCAATATGACGTTCAACTCTTTGTCAGATTCACACCAGTCAGCTTACTGCTTGCTTGGAAGGAAGCTGGTGATGGTTTCCTATAGCATGCATATGTATGTATATGTTCTATGCGAGTTCATTCGTGTCTGACCGATCGACGTTGCACCTGGAGTCTTTCGCCTCAGTGCGGCACATGGTTTGTTGCTAATGCACGGCCAATGTGGCTGGCATTGAAGTAACCCGAAAAAGGCAAAGCGATGGAATCATTGCTGACGTACGCGATTTATGCTCAACGCTAGTCTTTGGCACGCCTAAAAGTCGCTCTGTACATTTAAGCGCTCAGGAACAGCATTTCCAACGTGCTTGAATTCACGGAATTATGAAAGTTTCACTAATTTCGTCAGCGCTCGCTACTGTACTCGTTGCAGAAAACAGTAGCGGATGCGACAAGCTACTTCCTGACGGTGTCCTTCCAGGCGAATCTACAAGCCTGACTATTCACAGCGAAAGCGGCGTCACACCTCGTGGGTACCGCCTGCATATTCCTACATCATACGAAAAGAACACTCCTGTTCCGCTTATATTATCGTTCCATGGCCGAGGTAAAACTGCCGAATATCAGGAGGCTTTGAGTCAATTCTCTAACGCGAGCTATGGATTTGAGGGCATTGCAGTGTATCCTGAGGGAGTGCCGGTATGCAATTACACATAATACAGCATGAACAACCGCTGACATGCTACAGAACAAAAAGGGAACTCAACAATTCCAGGGCGACCCTGATGCTCCCAAATCCATTGACGATGTAGCCTTTACCTTGGAGCTGCTCGATCACCTTGAAACAACATACTGTATCGATACGTCACGCATCTATGCAACTGGAAAATCAAATGGTGGTGGCTTTACTGGAATTCTCGCATGTGACGCTGAGGCAACTAAGCGTATCGCAGCTTTTGCCCCGGTATCTGGTGCCTTTTACCTTGATGCAAATCAGCAACCGCCGCCTTGCAACCCCAGTCGTAAACCCGTACCGTTAATGGAGTTTCATGGTTATCGTGATACTACGATCCCATATAAAGGCGGGATCAACACGCGTGGCAATGCAAACAGTTCGAACGTTGTCACATATGTGAATGACTGGGCGGAACGCAATGGATACGATGCGTGTGTTAACACGACTACATACCTGTGCGATGGAGAGCGAAAGGTAGCGAGGCATAGCTGGGATGATGTGGTTGTGCACTACAACTACACCAACATTGAGCATGATTGGCCCAGCTCCTTTCCAAATGGTGATACAGATGACCTGTTGACGTGTGAGGAAGCGGAGGCAACATCTGTTATCCTTGAATGGTTCAAAAAGTGGACAATCTGAGACTTTCGAGCAAGCGTAGAGACTATCATAGGTGGTTAGACATGCGGTGGTACCATAAAACGACGATACACACCAAGTAAACAAAAAATAGTATCAATCATGCTTTAATATACATTTTTCTTCTGCATGATGTCTTTGTATTTTTTTTCTCCGTGTTTTACGTGTGAGAGACTAGGATCTAGTAGGCTCCAGACGATAGCACAGCTATTGGCCTCACTTTTTATCTCAACGATAGTTTTGATCATGGCAATCAGTTTGTTGATGTGTCCTAATGCACCAGGCTAACACTGTCGGGTGAGTGATGGTAAGCGCATCGCCGCAAATACTGTGGACTGGCCTTCTAGCTCCCAAACTAGTGGGTATTCTTATCGACATGGACAGCATGTTTGTGCATTTTCTTGTGGTATCATATTTCCTGCCAGAACGCTACCTCACCTGCTGTTGTGGCGGTAGCAGCGTTCGTAAACACTCCAGGGCTCCTTCCTTTAACGCAGTCTTGGCCAAGCTTGTCGGTATTTTCAACAACACTCAACTCAGCCTCTTCGTGCAACTTCGACTAATAACTCCAAAAGTTCTAAACCCGGTGTTGGCTGAAATTCCTTGCCTTCATCAATATTGCCAGTAGCGAGCTGGCGCCATGGACGACCACACCGTTGCACCCGCAAAGGATAGCGAACCGTCGACCGCCACTCAAGATCACACAGCACAAGATGAAACTGAAACCTCTCATGATGAAAGACTGAACCATCTCGCTCATCAATTAGACCAATCCCATCTACACTGTAGTTATTGGAAGTTTCAATCCATCGATGATGATCGCCGCGCAGCTGCTCACGGCTTCACTACACCCGAGGAACTATTGGTCCTGGCAAATAACAGCGATGAGAGACATGATGATATCAAGATCGTTTGGATGGGAGCAACGGGTCACCCTGGCTCGAGAAGCGCTGTAGTCGGCACAGCGTCGCAGCACCTGCAGACGATTTACGAATTACGCAATTTACTGGGTCTTCCAATGTCATTGCAAGGGCAAGTACCAATATACCCTACCAGCACTGACGTATGCCTAAAGCAATACTGGGAAAAGAATTATGGAGAACAATCATCCGCTCGCACCGTTCAAGCTCATCAAGCAGCAGGACAGCAAGAACTGTCGCCTGCAACGCTTGATCCTGGATTGGTGAACCAATCGTGCCTAGCTCCTGCCACGGTTCCACCCCAAGTAGCGTTTGGTCTTATGGTTGGGGAAACTTACAGCACAGAGAGAACACAGTTAATGCTACCTCTGCTGTCAAAACCTGCATCTTTACAGGGTTGCTCTAGCGATACGGAGATGTTAGCGAAACAAGTTGTACCCGCAGGTCAATTGCCCGAAAGCCTTGTGCCACCCCAAAATTACGATGAGATAGCTCAGCGGCAAGAATCATTCTCGACGACTGCGACGTTTTCAGCAACAACATTTTGTGCGACAGACACGTGGTCTCACAGTGATCTAGTGAATATGGCCAAGCTGCCATGCATAGATTGTGGAGATGATGATGGCCATACAAATGACTGCCATATTGGCAGTGAGTACCCACTTGTCTAGTGTTCCTTTTTGGTACTAACATGCTCCAGATCTCAACTTCAATGAAAACCTTACGATGCTTGACTATCGTATTTTGGCAGATATTGTTGAGCAATTCGATCCTGGTCCGTGGACAACACACTTTGATCCATACCCAGAACGTGAGCCCGAAGATCCTCAGGTGCAGATAGCTGGTATTGCAGAAGTGATAAGAAATGAAGATAGTTACAAGGACGATTCAGAATTGCATGGTCTACCAGACGAGTATATGATTATCCTATGGGCGTTCAAAACGTCTGATAATGTTGAAGTGATAGATTGGTAAGTCAGATACGTAAAACGAAAGTGCCTTAAGTTGACCAGACTGTAAGGTCCTTCTGGACTCGAGACAGTCATGAGTTTGTGAAAAGTATGTCTGGACTCGCTGTTGAAGACGAAAAGTATGATACAGGGAACGTCAGTGGCAGAAAACATGTTATCAGAGCCAGTGTTCAATCTTCCCCAGCCTTTCTGTGCTCACAGCTCCCTCAATATGTGAATCATCTAATGGCAATTGAATCTTTCCGCACACCACATGCTGTGGGAAATTATACGGCAAATGCAAGGCTCTTGGCTTTTCTCTATGCACGTGTGGATGCATGTGGTACGCTAGTAGCCGTCCCTAGTCAGCATCTAACCCGAATGGACTCTAAGACGCAGTCAGAAAACGTAGTAAGGTCGAAGGGGTTCTAAAATACATGACCGGACATAAGACGGACTAAAACACGACTGCATTGGTCGATTGTCTGCTTGGATGTCTGACTGACTGACTCGTTCGTTCCGATCTTGTAGTCACGATGCAACTATTGGATGCTATACTTAATCCGAGAAACCGAGGTAGTATCGTTGTTACCCCACTTTATGATAACAACTATTTAAGGTATCCACAACCAGGCAACAACTTAGATCTCGAAGTTTCCGCGTTGCATCTTGTGTGATGTTTAAACAAGAACCATTCTGGAAACCCTTCATCCAATTCTATTCTAAAAACCGCTAAAACTAACGGGGAATTTGCAACTTTCGTGACTCTTCTACCCTAAGTGCCACGTACACTTTCTGGAATCATTGTTATTGTTCATAACCCTTAGGCCCAATCCACGATTTCATTGCATCTACAACAATGGCGGACTTCGAAAAGGCCATCAACGATGCCATTGCTGCGGAGGAAATTCCGGGCTGCGCTGTATTAGCGACGAACCGCGACGGTACATGCACATCCACTCTACACTCCAACCCCAAGTCCCCAGTCTAACAAAAACCAAAAAAAGGAACATTCAAATATTCCAAAGCCTTCGGCAAAGTCTCCATGAAACCCGAAAACAACAAGCCCATGCAACTCGACACAGTCATGTGGATAGCATCCTGCACCAAGCTCATGACCTCCATTTCCGCCATGCAACTCGTAGAACGTGGCGTCATCTCCCTCGACGACCCCGTCTACAAGCACATTCCGGAGCTAGAATCCCGCACAGTAATCAAAGGCTTCACTGACGCCGGCGCGCCTATTGAAGAAAAACACACAAAACCCATCACCCTGCGGCACCTCCTTAGTCACTCCAGCGGCCTCGGATACGAATTCATAAACCCGGTCATCGAAGCCTGGCTCAAGTACCACAACCGCCCCTCGGCAAGTAGCGGGAGCGTCAGTGAACGCTTTTTCTACCCGCTCACCTTCGAGCCCGGCGAGAGCTGGGCGTACGGTGTCGGCATTGATTATGCGGGACTCCTCATTGAGCGCGCAACCGGCCAGTCGCTCGAGGACTACATGAAGGCGAATCTATGGGGACCCCTCGGCATAAAAGACATGACATTTTTCCCATCCAAGCGCCCGGATTTGGCGGCGCGCATGGCGGATATGACAGCGCGGGATCCCGCGTCCGGGAAGCTTGTGGATTTTGCGGCGCCGCTGCCGGTGCATGATAGCGAGGGCAAGGAGGTGACGAGTTGCTTTGGGGGTCAGGGTGTTTATGCGTCCATGGAGGAGTATGCCAAGGTTTTGAAGGCGCTGCTGGAGGCGGATCAGGGAGGTGAGGGCAAGATTTTGAAGAAGGAGTCTGTGGAGGAGCTGTTTAAGGCGCAGTTGGGGGACAAGAGTAGGGAGGCGCTTATGGCGGTGTTGGAGAATAAGGAGGTATGTTCAGGTTTTCCCTTTCCCCTTCTCTGAATGTTTTCTTTTTCTTTTCTTTTTTCATGCAGTCATGGAGCTGAAATATCTGACTTTCTTGTAGGCGTTCAATCCTATGGGTGGTCTGCCGTTTGGCGTGCCCAAGGACCACACACTTGCTGGTATTGTCCTGTTGGATGATGGTTCTAACGGCTACAAAGCCGGGACCGTGATTTGGGGCGGGTACCCGAATATCATCTGGTGGGTTGATCGCAAGACAGGGCTTTGTGGTATCTACGGTGGTCAAGTTGTTCCGCCGGGAGATGTAAAGGTTGGTGGGCTGCAGCTCAAGTTTGAAGCGGCCATGTATGAGAGGTTGGCAAAAGAGAGGGCGTAAGGCTTCACTTGCGCGGTTATCGCATTCATGAAGATCGAAAATACTACTACCAAGAACTTGAAAGTTGAACAAAAGCATGAATTATCATGTTCTATTAAAGAAAACATTGCAACGGTGTCAAGGCCCCGAGCTTTACACTACAATCGCCTATACAGGTCCTAATGACCAAATGTGACATCGCATCAGCAGTCATCCCAGCTTATCTGCCATCCATTAGTCAAGGTAAAAACAAGCAACTCCATCGTATAACCCAGGAAACGCCTTGTAGCCACAAACGCCAGAAACAAAAGAGTAAGAAACCTGATGTGATATGTAGCATTGTCCGAAAAAGTCCACTTAGCGACGACGACCCTGCGCACGCAGCATAGCATTGCGCTCAAGCGCCTCCTGCTGACGAGTACTTCCATAGACGGAGGGAGGAGCAGGCATATCGATCGCTCCACCGATGATACCATTGCTACAGGGACCGCCGAGACCTTTGCCAACGGCACTACTAGTGTCAATGTCGAAATCGCCCGTCGCATTGGTAGCGCCCATGTTGTCTCTGTTGAAAGACTCGATAGCATCAAGATTGACATTGTCGAAAGATGTGGTGTCACTGACATACGGAAGGTACTCAGGGACTGCCACAACAGAGTCGTAGTTGTGGGCAGTGAAAACCGAAGGACTGCTCGAAGTGGTGTTTGCATGCAGATATGGAGATTGAGTGAAATCGATCTGGACATCGGCGCCGATGGCTTCGTAGTCGGGGGGTGGAAGCAAGGTACCGGCATTAGTTATCTGCTTGCTCGTGTTGGAGTCGATGCCCTGGAGGAGAGGAAGGAGGAGGCGACCTTTCTCTTCGTCGGTGAGGCTGGCCCATGTAGAGTTGTAGAGATTTTTGATGGAGCGGTCTTCAGAGCGTCGCACGAGGGTCGTGCGCTTCTTTGGAGCCTTCTTCTTGGGTGTCGTCTCCTGCTTGATCACCTTTGTGGCCTTCATCCTCGGTAGTGGTTCCTTTCTGTTCGGAGGAGTAAGGCTGGATTGTTGTGGACTGGAGCTCAGAACTGGTCCCCACAAGGCCTCAATCGCACCCATTGGCTGCTCTGAAGGTTTCACTCGAGCTGACTCGATGGCCTGGGAGACAGGCGGGGTGGTGACGCTTGAATCTACCGTTGGTGGATCAGACTCCTTTGTTGGAGGTGAAGACGGCCAGTCGCACTGATTGTCAACAGTCTCTTCGCTGGTAAGCTCAGCAGTCCAAAGCGACATGTCGCTCTGGAAGCTGCTGAAAGTGTTCTCCGATGCGAAGGAGTCAAAAAAGCTGCTCTGGCTTGTAGAAGGTTCAAGCGGAGGCAACTCCTCCAAGTCGCCCCACAACTCTTCCTCAGTAAAGCTGGCAGGCAGGTCATCGCTGTGATCGGTAATGGGTAGATTGCCGTCAGAGGAGGCTCCATTGAAGTCGAAGAAGCTGTCCTCCGTGAAGCTGGATGACTCTAGGTTCATGTCGTCGCTCAGGAACTGGAAGAAATTCTGAGAAGTCATGATATCGGATGGAGGGAAAGATAGATGGATGCGGGTAGTTATATGAGGGTAAAAAGTGCTATTATAGCGATTTGCAAGTAGACAGTTTTGAGTGAGATGTAGTGAGAAATAGGAACTGAAAATGCGAGGCTACAGAAAACTCATGTGTGCGATGGAGGCTGGGCTCCAACTAAGCGACTGAGAGGCTGGTTAGTAACGGATGGTCCTAGCATACAAGAAACGTCTCACTTTGGTCTTCATCTTGGGGATCAATCTGCTCGAAGTGGGTACTAGATCCCAAACAGGTAGTGTTCGATGAGGCGACAGCGAACCATTGGCCCAGCCTCCCCCAGGCAGCATTGCCCTACTTGATTTTGGTTGCTATGGTATGGAGCAAACGGTCTAGGGCAGAGCGACTTTGTGCCCAGTTTCTCTCACTGTGCGCCTCAATGCGTTTGCCTAGCCCCATGCAGGTATAGCTTGGGAAAAGATCCCGATAAAGATCTTCGAGTAGGAGAGATATCCGCGGCGGGCCGTTTCCGTAGCTCTGGTTCCTGGGTTTTGTGGCTGGTCTGTGGGGAGGGGGGTGAGGGAGTGAAAGAGCCCGTCTAGCGAGAGCAAACGGATGTAGCTGCGTGATTTATCTCTGCATACTGCGAGGTAAGCCAATGTATGAGAGAATCTCTGGTGGAATTTTACAAAGCCATTGCATAAGACTCACATGGCTTGTGCCCTATCCGTCGTCAGTTCGTGCCTACGGCTTAAGCGATAGATTGCACGCGCAAATGGGACATACTGCATGACTAACATTAATGCAATGACCAAGAATTGGATTACAAAGGATAAAAACATCGTGTGTCGAATTGATATACGAATCTGAGTAATTGTTGACATCGTGTGTCGACTCACTCACTGCACTGAAGGGAGTGCTTCGCGAGAGAATCGCGAGATGACGTCACGGTCTATGGATCTCATGGCCTCAGCATTTGGTACCCTCCATCATTCAGCTGTAGGCAATAGAGAAATGAATAACGCATATGCTCTTTCTACCAAGTAAAGTCACAATCGCATAGTACTCTCACAATCGGCAACAAAAGTGATACGCATCATTCCATCACCAACGCAAGCAAAGGCCCAACCATCAAGTCGCAACATGAGTATTCTGATGATGCCAGAAAAGAAAAACTATTCATGAACGAGGATGATATGCGATTCGCCTGTCCAAACCCCAGTAATACGTGCGCATGCACGTCTGCGGCAAGGATCATGCAAGTAAGCGTCAGCCGCCGCAGGATCTACTACTACTAGTACTAGTACGTACTATAGTAGCGGCAACCGTAATCCCACAAACTCAAATGCAACTTCACCCCATCCCAGCCCATCCGTATCCTGACTCCCTGAGTTAAATTTCAGAATATACATGTATCCATAAAGCATATGTGTGACCTTAGAAGATGTCTGGATCCTCCTCAAAGTCATAAGAGACTGTGTGGCTTGGACGGCCAAGTGTCTCTGCGCACTCTATTTGGATATCGAGCATCTCCAGCACATCCAACTTGAGTGTATTGTCCATATCGTCGTAAGCTTCGCGCGTGAGATTCGCACGTTTCTTCCGCCATGCAGTCTGATACGGAGGCGCGTACGGCTCGTGGTATGGCGTGCGCGCCATTGGAGTTCGATCGCAGACAGGTACCCATGACGGAAGTAGGACTGGGGCGGGACCGGCGGCAGCATCTCCAGATACCGCCTCTGGATGACACTCTGCACTATCGTTAGTGAAGTTGTTGTTGCAAAGACGGAAATGAAACGTACCCGGTGGAGGAGTAGCTCCCATGGCCTTGCGATGCTGCTTGCGGGCTATCTGCCCCTGGGCTTCCAGCCGCTCCTTCGCGTCTTCCTCGGTAAATGGCTTGTACATTGGTGCAAGCCACACCTTGTCGAGATCTGCGACTGGTGCCCATCCCAGGGGTCGCAGGAGCCGAAGAGCATCGTGAGTGGCTGGAAGCCAACCTGGTGTGAATCCCGGCTCGTAGTATTCGGCCGGGATGAGGTTGGTGTCAACGCCGCGCAATGTGGCTTCGCAGGCGTATCTCAAGGCGTTCCTGTCGGCGACGACGACGTTGCGCTCGAGGCGCTCCTGGACATGGACGTTGTTGCGTCCCAGTTCCTTGTTGAGTTCGTGCACTTCTTTGCAAAGTGCCTCGGTCTTTGGGACTGCCTCGTCCCAGTAGAGTGTCTGCCAGTATGCTGCGGCCTTTTCCGCTTGTTGGATCTTGACCTCAGCCTTGTCCTGGACTTTCTTGATGCACGCCTGGAGGTCGGCGTTTTGCTTAGAAACTGCGACGTTGCGATCTCGCAGTTTCTCATTCTCCTCCCTCACTTGGCGGAGATGTCGGCGGAGGAGGTCTTTGTCCTCCACCGAGAGACAGTCGTCCTCAGCGACGGCATCGGCGAGGAAGTCACGTTCCCTGACAAGGAGGCTTTGCTTCGCCTCGAGAATCTCCAGTCTGTCTTGGGCGACACACATCTCGTACTCCGTCATGTCGAGTTTGATGGAGATTTCGAGGTTTTCGTCGTCCATCTTGTTCGCCTTGGATTGAAGCTCCGCATTTTCCGCGCGGACAAGTTTGACTTCGTCGTCAAGCTTCTGCATCTTCAGGGCAATTTCCAAAAGATGCTCGGACCCCAAGATGTCGGAGTCCTTCGGGATGGCGTCTGCGGCGCGAAGCAAATCATCGCGAACAGCGAGCTTCTCTTGAAGCTCGACAATCTGCTGCTGGAGGTCGCACACTTGCGCCTGAGCCTCTTGCTCCTTGGCTCCATGAGACTCGTAATGGTCACGCTGTTGTTGCATGGCCTCCAGGATATTCTCCATCTTGATGTGCGCGACTCGGAGGTCCGTACGCGCCTGCTCCAACTCACTCTTGGTACGTTGGATCTCTTGGAACACATTTTGGGCGTGTTCGCGCAATTCGTCTCCAGGTCTGTCAGTCAACGTACCAATCAGCAGGTTGTTCTCGGCCTCGAGATCATGATTGCATTTCGCCAATCGCATGATCTCGTTTTCGTTGTCCTGCACGACATCGCGGTAGTCACATGCCATCTGTTCAGCATCCGCCTCCATCGCCTTTTGGGCATGTTCCCACACAGAACGGTTCGTCTTACTCACTTCTGTGAGCGCGCGCAGGGCCTCGAGATGGCGCGTTTCAAGCACATGACGCTCCTTGACAGAATTTCGATTGGCTTCCACGAGCTTTTCCTCATATATATCGCGGATTGTTGTGAGTGCGGAGCGATGATCGGTATTGAGCTTCTTCAGCTCGTGTTGCTTCTTCTCCAGAAGAGCTATTGATGTCTCGTATTTGTTGGAGACAATCTCGTACATTGCCTCCATCGCTTGAATCTCCTCGAAGGCTTGATCGAGAAGGTCTTTGTCTCTGAGCCGTTGCTCACATTGTTTCAAATGCTTTTGCTCGAGCTCTTGATAGCTCTTGCACTTTTTGAGCAATTCTAGTTCGAGCGTGGTGGCTCGCAAGTTGAGCTTTTGCTTGCCTAAAGCCTCAACAAGGTATTCGATCTTGTTGTTGTTTTCACTTCCACTATAGGAAGTGCGTTCTGTCTCGTGGCTCGATGTGCACTCACTGCCGGTGTGGCTTCGGGGGGTGGATGGAGTGGATTCGGAGGTATTTTTGGCATGAATCATCGTGTAGCGATGATGTTTCCATGTCTTTTCGGTTGCCTTGCTGATGCTTGCAGCAATCTGTGTGGATTGTCGGTTAGGAATACATCGCACTCAATCATCTTTCTTGGGAACTTACCATATCACTGTTTAGAACGGACACGTCACGGAGTGTTTTGTTGTGTTCAAGGCTCTTCCCTGTTTGGAACATCTCCTTGTGATCAGTGATGATCTCTCGAAGAAGAGAAACATCTGCGGTCGAAAATCCGTTGACACCACAGATTGCTTTCTTGGTCGAAGTAAAGAAGCTGGCCATTGGGATTATTCAGGAGAAAGCTATAGATGGTGAGTCAATATACCTAATCAGAATATAATAGACGTACCTGTAGTAAGAAACTGTACAGCGTTGATTTTGGAGTCGGGCGAGTGTATCGAGTTCATGGATTCGATATATAAAAGGGTTGTTCAATTGGAATGAACAGATGATATAAAGAAATCTATATGATGGTATAATCAATTCTTCAGAGTGGTTGACCTCAAAGGAACAAGAGAGCTGTACATCGTTTATATACAAGGTGTATTGTGCGTAAATGTGAAAACAGAGTGCACGTGTTCACTGTGCATTCACTCTATACTTGCGCCTAACGCCCAAGGGGTGTGGGGTGCTTTGCTAAAACCAACCTATGAGAGGCATTTGAGGTCAGGCGCCACTGTCATAGCGACATGTTTGTGTGCGCTTCCGCTGCGATTCCTGTTTGATATTCCTCATATGGTATAATGTCGTTCACTCTGAGCAGGCGAAGACTACCGTTGTGGTCTGGCTAAGGCTATTTTGTAACGCGCAGGTGAATGACGTGCTTTTCAGCTTCCAGGTTTACCGCTTCTGGCTGTTTCACAGCAAGGCATGGCTAGAGTATCATGTTTACAGAATATCTATCATACTCATTTGGCTTGTGGCAAGAAGACTGGATATTCTCGTTGTCTTATAAACAGGTACATAAGAGTTGCTGATTGTAAGCGCCGTCAGTCAACATGTTGAAAGAGAAGAAACGTAAAACACGGCAATCGCAATTGGTAATCATGACTTGAAAGGAGAGGATTCGAACAAGCCCTTAATATCGAGTACGATGCATTGAACTAGATAAACTGCACATAGCCATCAAATCATGTCCGAACCATTGACATAGTCTCTACGCCTCCACAGCTACCTGCTCATTCTCCCCAACTTTCCTCTTCTTCTTACCGTGATGTCCGCGCGCCTCGACTCTACCCTCAATGGGCAAGACACGAGTAGCAGTGAACAAGTAACCCTCGGCGCCACCTTTACTCGTCATCATGGGATGGGTACGCCCAGGGAGAACTTGCCATTGTCTTGCGCGCGCAGTCTGCAACGATGGCGCAAGAAGCAAAGTCGGATTCAGCGGAAAATCGTCCTCTTCATTACCACCCTCCGTAGTACTACCATTCGTCTCTGTGCCATCCTCAGACTTTGCCTTATGCCCATTGGTCTGTGTTGCAGATCCGAATTCTCGTGCTATGTAGGCTGCGCGGCGCTCTTTGGAGTAGTAATCGCATAGTTCGACTAGAGGCTCGACATTGGGGTTGTAGACGACTACCCTTCCACCGCCACGGACAAGAGGAACTAGCTCTTTCAGTACAGTCTTTGCATCCATGGCTGTGGCGACTACCAAGCCATCGAAGCCACCTTGACGCGTCTCGTCAACGACACTCTTGACGCGCTCCCATCGTCTTCGCTTCTTGTAGTACGTTCCTCGCTTTGTGGACTTCATTGTTGCAAGAACATCTTCAGAAATTACTTCTGGTTCATCATAGGATGGGTCATCCTCGGGATGGAGTAGTGAAAGCCATGATAGTGATTTGAGATGCTTGTACAGAGGATGCGAAACAGTGGGTGCACCATAGTCATAACCAAAGTATTTGAGATAGGAGAGGTTTGGTTGATTGTTGGGATGCAGGACGGTGAGGGTATTGGTACGCGCAGACATTTGGGGGATATGGGGCCGCGGTGGCTTCCTTGGTCTTGGAGGAGGATCTGAAGGGGCTGCAGTTGTCGAAGGGTCTGTAGCGTTTATAGGATTTGATGTGATGGTAGTTTCTCCATCAGCATCGGGCATAGCGGTATCTTCATCCTTGGACCGCAGGGCATCCGTTGTTGCTGCGGTCCCATTTTCGGCCCCTTCTGGAGTCGCGACGTCCTCTTCTGAGTCGGATTCGTCGTTCTCGTCATCAGGATACAAGATGCCCATTTTCTCGGCAAGTGATGCGGTGAGCAAGCCTCCAGTATCGTCTACAACAAGCCATCGCCCTCCCCCTATTTGACTGACACCATCTTCGCCAATGATGATCTGGTTCGTTTCTCCAGAGTGGACATTCGCCCAGCTGTTGATCAAGCCCAGTAGGTCTTCCCTCAGCTCCATGATTTTGTACGCCTCCTTCTCCAAGACGTACTCAGTGAGCAGACCGACATCCATGGGCAAGGCGGTAAAGCGCTTCATGTACTTCCTTGATTTTCGCAGCGTGTACTTGGCCAAAGAGAAGCTCGTCTTTTCGTCAATGGCATTGTGAGAGGCCATGATCTTGGCAATAATTTCTTTGCCAGACCCAGTACCAGCTTTCTTCAACTCCTCAATTTCAGCCATGGACAATTGCTGGCGTGAAGCATCGTCAATTGTTAAGCGATTATTGCGCATTATGACCTGACCATCTTCGCCCACTATGTCGAAGCCCGCACCAGCCTCGGCGCCATCGTCACCAGCCTCGGCATTGGGCGTATGGTCGCTGCCGAGAGCTTCGGCATGAAGTTCAGAGGCAGGAACGACGCGCAATTCCGTCTGAGATTTGCCGTCGTCTTTGTCGAGGAGCTCGTAGGTAAGATAGTAGGGCCGTCCGAGGATGAGGTTGGAGTTGAAGGTGCCAAATTTTCCAAGATTTATGGTACTTGGTTGCGTTAGCATAGTCTCCACATTTGTATGCACTCGGAGGGCTCACTCCAGCTATGCGACGTACGTATTCGGGGTGGTCTCGACAATCTTGAAGAGGCCCGACGGGAGCCGCAGGGCCACGTGCGTGTTGGGGCGAATGTAGGAATGCATAGTGGCGCGTAATCGTGCCCAGTGAAAGATAAATCTATTCCATATGCGACTGTGTTCTGGACGAGTGGCATTGATTTGGCGCACTCTGATCTGTGGCGGCGACGGGCGCAAAGAAGAAGTTCTGGAATTAGTGGATTGGGTGCAGGGATCCGAGGCCGAGGCGCCACGCCCGCACAGCCACATTCGGGTGCATCAGCCTCCCGCTTCACGTCATCGCCTCTGCTTGGTTCGCGACTTGGGGACTTGACTGTTGAGGCCGCGTATGCCACTCGGCTTTGGTGTCCTGTCCGATTATATCCACCACTGGCCCTAACCACCATCACTACCCCGCCCATCTCCGCCGCCTGCCTCCCAACCAACTAACCACCGCACCCTGAGCTTCGCTCGCGCGCATCGGCTTATCGAGAGCTGCGCCGAACCACACCACCACTCACCAGGCTCTCTATCACCGACCATGGTGCTCCGGAAGCCTGATGAGCAGGATGGCCTCGTGCCAGCGCCCCTCTCCAAGGCAAATCCTCCATACCCAACTACTCCCTCGGAAGAGTACGCCCCTATACTTCCCTCGACTCCCGATAACAGCATACGCCCGCCAGGCGCATCCAAGTCGCCAGCCTTCAACATTAAGACATCGCAAGACGCCCAGCCACCTAAAAATGGACATGAATCGGACTCCGACCTCAGCGACGACGAGTGGAACCAGACTGACGATGAATTTGAGGAAGTCGATCACCAGCAGGTGCCCGCTGCCCTGAAACCCGCCGGCGGCAAGATACCGCCTGTGCCCAAGACAACCAATGTCACCGACAGCCTTCCCAGCGCGTTAAGAGTAGGCCCGCCCACCGGTATACCCATCAAGAGATCGAATGAAAGCATGACATATATGCCCACTGGTGGCAATGCTGCGTCATACGGCGGCAGTGCTGCGTCGTATGGTGCCAGAAGCAACGTATCGGAGCAATCAAACGGTTCCATCCCGCTTCAGACCAACAATCCGTACCTGAAAATGCAGGCAACCGGGCAGAGCAACTTGGGCGGAGAAAGTAGCGAAGCCATCTGGGGAGACTCCGTGAGCAATGCCTACAAATACGATGCCCCAGTCGAGCTGCCAACCCACCAGACACCAAGCACGCCTTCTCATGAGATGCGCAACCTTGCCCTGGATGACCGCGCCCCATCCGCGCACCCTGCTCCTCCCGCGTATGACCCACCGTCCATTGCAGTGAACTCACCGACTCCACAATCCGAGCACGCTACTACTCTGATTGACACAAACCCCTGGGAGTCTGCGCCTGCCCAAGGACACTCTCAACATACTCCCTGGACTGTCCCAGCAGCCAACGCTAGCAGCAGCGATGTAGCTTCTAACGCGGCACCCGCCCCAAATGCTCCAGAGAATGTCCCTGCTGTGCAGCACACGCCGCCACAACCACAGTACACTCCTGAACCAACACCCCCGACTTCTGAAGAGAACCCGCCAGCACTGCCTCCAAGGATTTCTCATGAAGACTTGACACCTGCTATGCCTCCAAGACCCATTGACACTGGGATAGGCTCCAGCGTAGCACCTGGATTAGAGTCGCCTAACACTGCGATGAACCGACAGAGGAAAGAGCATTACCAAATCAAGCATGTGCGTTGGCTCGACGATAGCATCAAGGACATGCGCGTTTCGCCTATCCTTACGCAAAACTTGAATGGGCCGTGTCCACTACTCGCTCTCGTAAACGCGCTTGTTCTCTCCACTCCGGCAAACCTCGAAACTGCATTGGTTGAAACCTTGCGCACGCGCGAAACAGTCAGTCTAGGGTTGTTGCTAGATGCTGTGTTTGAGGAACTCATGTCTGGTCGACGTGGCGATGCTGCACAGGAACTACCAGATGTAAGCGAGCTATACAAGTTTCTCCTTGCGTTACACACTGGTCTCAATGTCAATCCCATGTTCGTCCCGGACCCCAATTCAGCCGCCGGTCATACCACGCTTACGAACCGAGCTGGTGCGTTTGAGGACACACGAGACATGAAGCTGTATCGGACCTTTAACATTCCCCTGATGCATGGATGGCTACCAGAAGCCGGCACAGATGCCTTTGTCGCCTTCAACCGTGTAGCGCCGTCTTACGAAGCGTCCCAGCTGGTCCAGTTCCAAGAAGAGGAGCTCAACACCAAGCTAAATGCAGGTGGCTCTCTGAATGAAGAAGAGCAACAGCTGTTTACGGATATTCATGCCATCAAGGAGTTCCTAAACAGGTGGCCAACTCAGCTCACTGACCATGGTCTCAAGGTCATTCGGGACAATCTTCAGCCCGGCCAGGTTGCCATTCTTTTCCGGAATGACCACTTCTCTACGCTGTGCAAGAACCCCTGCAATGGTCAGCTTGTTACTCTCGTTACCGACCAGGGCTACGCATCGCATGACGAGATTGTTTGGGAGTCTCTTATGGACGTCAACGGTCAGGGAAGTCAGCTTTTCTCTGGTGACTTCCGCTCAGTCGACAACAGCAATTCATCCTCGGGCCAGCATGGTCAGCAGTCTGGGAATCTCATTGACGTTGAAGACAATCAGGGATGGACTACGGTACAAGGCCGCCGAGGCAACCAGCAGCAGTCAGCTGCTTCGGGGGCTGATGCACAGGATACGGAATTGACATCACCCACTGGCCTTAGTAGGGCTGAGCAAGAGGATCATGACCTTGCGCTAGCACTACAGCTGCAAGAAGAAGAAGAGGATCGCCAAAGACGCGAGACGGAGGGGCGTGCACGCAACAATCAGGTACCACAACCTGGTGGTGTCCGTCCTGAACAACCTCCAGTCATACCCCCGCGTCGCAACAACATCACTGGACATCGTCCTGCTGCAGAACCTGCTCCACCTCCAACATACGAGGAAGCATCTACAGCACCACGGTACAACCCACCAGCAGGCCACCCTGCCAACCCCGGAGCCCCTATACCTCAGCACGGCAGCGCATACCAGAGCACAAGCGGTATCCGCCCCAACGCAGGGCGCCCCATGGGTTCACCAAACATGGGTCCTGGTAGGCCTGGAAGAAGACCAAGTGCCGGTACAAACGGTCCGGGTGGTGCAAATGGAGAAAGGGAAAAGTGCATTGTCATGTAGATGCCGCAAATCTGTCTCGCGCGAAGCACTTTTTGTTACTTGATACTAACATAGTTTCTATGCTCGCTTTTTAGGGATCTATCCGATGTCCCTTGTTGTGGTTGCAATGTCAACTAGATTTTGTAAACTTGGCGTTTGTTTTTTGTCATGTGGAGGAGGATTGGCTATTATTATACCCGGTGTTTTTGTGGAAAGTAAGATTGCTGTCTGGTATCAGTGGATAAGGACTAATTAGTATATGGAAATTGAGATGCAAGTGTACTATGGTATTCATTATCAGCCCCATCATCGATTTCTGTGCTATCCATTCCATACCTCCAGTCCTGTTCCTAACAGAAAACCACCAGATGATTGATTTGATATCTCATTCCTCAAAAGGAAAACCACACACGTACACAACCTCCAGTCTCTCAACCTCGAAGAAAAAACAACCCCATCATCCCTTAAACCTTACATGAACCGCTCAGCCTGCCTCATCTTCTCCTTACTCTCCATCCTCGCCAACTCCCTAACCCACGCATCCTGCTCTTCCTGACTCTGCCTGGACACACGACACGGCTGCTGCTGTTCCCCATCTCCCCTCGGCGTCTCCGCCTCCCTCTCCACCAAAGACGCAGTCTCACACCTCCACGACACGCTACTCGCCGTACTCGCCAAGCTCCTCCTCACCCTGCTGTGAGTGCTATACAGCGACGTACTACCAGGTGTGGGGCGTAAGGCGGGATGCACATCGGTATCGTACGTCAGGGTGCCTGTAAGCCGGAGTTCTGTGCGTTTGCGCTCCATTTTCTTGAGTTCGTCGGCCCAGTCGGTGAGGTCTTGGAGGGTGGGGGCGTGGCGGCGGGAGGTGCGGAGGTCGGAGTTTACGATGGGGCCGGTGGTGATGGTGGGGATGAAGGGGGGTCGGGGTCGGGGGTGTTGGGTTGTGCTGGTGGAGCGGTGGGAAGTCGATGTCGGGATGCTGTTGTGGTTGCGGAAGGGGAGGTCGGAAGGGGGATGGGAAGAGGGTGTGGGGGTGCTGGTTGACCTGTAGCCTGGTGTGCGAGTGCAGTCTTGTGAGTCTTTGATGCTGTATGCGTTCGTTGAGATATCGCGAAGGATGCGTTCTCGAGTTACTGTGTTCTCTTCGACTAAGGAGACGCAACTGCTGCTTGCACTACGCAGACTGCGAACGAAGTTCTCGTAGTCGTATCCTTCGTCGTCGCTGCTATCCTCGTCTCCAGCTTCAGCACGACACTTGACAATGTACTCTGCGTCATCGACTACCTTGGTTGCCCACGCACAGTGCACTGCTTCCTCGGTAAGTTTCACTTCTCGATTCTGGCGCCGCTCGCGATTCATACGCAAGAGATTGCGTTGTGCATCAAGTGTAGTACTAATCTCCCCTGTGTATTCATTGATGCTTAACCATGAACCAACATCTTCTAGCTTCTGGGCCGTCTGGATGCTGTAATTACGGAGATGGGAAGCTTCGTCATCGGCGAGCTCTTCTATCTTACACCGCAGAGTTGGGTCGGTATGCATCGAGAGGTCCAGCTGGCACGAGTTGAGAACGTATTGCGAGGCTTGCAGTTCGTCTTTGGGCTTGACCATGGATGGGTGGATGACATCGTGTTGGCCGTCAGAAGATAGGCGGAGGGCGTGTCGGTTGGCGCATAGATGGAGAGCCATCTTCTTCACGTCTCTACGTACTTCATCGTAGGCCGATTTGGCATCAGGGTCGTTGGGTGGGTCTGACGCCCAAAGTCCAAGTGGTACGGCAGTGATGCGCGTTGATGCGACAGAAGCTACACTCGCGGGTGTCTTGGGCGAGAGAGATGCCCATACACCTCCCTCAGCAAAGGCATTCTTGATGGGACCTGAAGTAGCAGATAGTGGGGTTGGAGGACCAGAAGCCACGACATCCCACCGAGGTCGTACACTTGCTAAAGAAGAGGTGACGATACGCGGGAGGTGTGCTGGGCGCAATGGATGCGGGCCCGTCGACGAGGTGAGTGACGAAGAACTGGAGCATAGTAGCCGACGGATGCCTTTTGCAGTGGTCGAATGTGTAGGCTGCATTGGTGGATGCCATCCAAATACGATAACGTTGTCTTCTTTTGCGGCCCGCTCAATCCGGCGTACAACTTCCCTCCACTTGGCTTCCGTAAACCACTCTCTACACCAATAGATAACCCGCTCCCAGAAGACCGGGTGCTGCTCTTTTTTTAGACCCCTCAAGCCCCATTTCTCATGTTCGCTCAGCTTCTTGCCTGTGAGCGGGGATATCTGTATCTTGTTCTTCTCTTCGTCCACAGGATCTTCTACAGAGTCTTCGGTAGGGGTTTGGATGGGGGCTTCGACGGGGACTGCTATGGGGTCTCCAACAGGGTCTTCCATAGCGGCTTCCATACAGACCTTGATAAGGCCTCCCACTGAAAGAGGAAAGAAGACTTGTCGGAGGTTTTTGGAATAGCAGTTGTTACCTGTCTGTCAGTCTGCTGCGATTGTGGGAAGAGTTCTCCGACAAAAGTCCTACCTATACAGTTGCCAAGACCGGGCGTGAAAGTGAAAGCTGGTCAGTGAGCAGTTTATACAAAGTGGAGTCAAGTCGCGCGCAAGCATTGTTCAGTATTTGCACGTCGTGTCAGGGTCCGGACATTGTGCAAACCTGCAAACGCGCAATTCGAGGTGAAGCGCCAGCCAGACGAGAAATAGTGTGAGGTATGCGAAAATGAAACGAGTCACTGGCTTTAATATTATGTAGCAAGTCTCTTCAAATGGTATCCAACTCCACTGATGCAAAGCAAGACCTATTCTAAAAATGTAAAAAGATTTGTATGTACAACGTTAAGGGCGCGGTCTGCTTCACGCTCCTCAATGACGCAAGATATGTTAATCTCGCTGGCGCCTACGTTGAATTAGCGGCTGAATTATCCAAACATACGAGTAAGAACTGCGACATACCTTGCGAGATCATTTCGATATTGATGTTGTTTTGACCCAACACGCTAAAGAACTTGCCAGAGATACCAATCATGTTCTTCAGCTGCTTACCCACCAAACTTACAATGGCCATGTCAGGTACGATGTCAATGGTACCGAGGGCACCAAGATCATTGACAGCGCCTTGGAGGTCCTTGGACTGAATCTTGTAGTCGTCCTCACCTCCGCCGCTTAGAAGAGCAGACTCGGAGTGCAAGGCCATGGACACGTGCACCTCGGAGGAAGAGATGAGATCAACAGACAATCGCCAGTTGTCAAGGATGTTGAAGATGTTCATCAAGAAACCATGGGCACGAGTACGCTTGTTGCTGTGAACGTTGAGTACAACAATGTTGTGCTTGATCGTTACAGCGGTGGGCCGCTTGGGCCCTTGAAGCTGAGTAAGGAGACTCGAAGAGCGAGTGCGGAAGAGTCCCGTATCCTTCAAAGGCGCATTGTCGTCAATATCCCGGAGGTTGTCAGGGAAGATGATGGTTCCAGCATTGCGTGGGTTCATGACGTTCTTGATGCGAATAGGGATGCGGGCGCGGATGACCTGCTCCATGGTGAAAGGGTGAATGACTTCGGATCCGTAGAATGTCAATTCAGCAGCCTCTGCAGGGGTGACGCTGGGGAGGAGCGCGGCTGTAGGGACCTTGCGCGGGTCTGCGGTGAAGATTCCATCCACCTCTTTCCAGACTTGCAGTTCCTTGGCCTTTATGCCAACGGCAACCAAGGCGGCGCATAGATCGGTATATCCGCGTCCGATTGAAGTCAAGAGACCGCCGGGCACGTTTCCAAAGAAACCGGTAATGACAGGGACCTTGTCTCCACAAGCTTCCACCTGGCTGGCCAAGTCCGCAGCCAAGTCCTTGTAGAACTTTTCCTGCAGTCCTCCTTTGATGGGCGCGTTGGGCTTGATCACGTCGCTGAGGTCGACGAATTGGGCAGGCGTACCACGGTCGTTCAATATCGCGGCCATGTAGCGACAGCTCAGCTTCTCGCCCTTGCTGATGATCTTGTCCTCGGTGTGGTTGGTGACCTCCTCGAGATGCTGGGCCGACTCCAAGATCTTGATCAGACTCTCGCACTCAGCGTTGACCTCTTGGGTGTAAGACGCCAGAATTTCTGGGCTCTTCAAAATGTCCTTGCCCGCCTGGATATGGTCAAGACGGATGGCTTCAACAATCTCATCGTACGCCCGGTGGTTGGGTCTCTCGGCAGCTCGAGCGGTACGAAGGAGGCGGTTGGTGGTTCCTTCAAGCTTTGTGTTGCTGCTGCGCGCAGAGCAGACAATAGCGGCACGGTTCGTCTGAAGACCGACTCTGTGAAGGGTTAGTGGGTTGTGCTCATCTTGGGCATTCAAATGGGCGTCGTACTTGACAATGTCCGCTATATTCTCCGGGAACTTGCCGACACTTGTACCACCGAACTTGAGGACCACCCATCCTCCAGGAAGATGCTTCTCTTGCGTGTGAGCTATCCGCTCCGACTCGTGTCCGTTTGTGTATGCTGACATTTTGAAAAGGCGGCTTGTCGAGTTGAGCTCTGGTCAATTGCGGGTGCAGATTTTTCTGGGGAGTATCCAAGTGGCGAAAGTGTCTTGGGACGAATGTGTTGGGCAGTGGATGACGTGTGTAGTGCGAAGTATGGGGTTGTGAGGATTGAGCGAATTCTCGAGTGCTTTTAGCGGGGAGGCCTGAGTCAAAAGTTCGCGCCCGCAATCGGCGCTGCACACACTGCAGGGGATGCAGACGCCGCGCGACGCCAGCGAATCCTTCGGGCCGCCGACACAACTGCGCCGGTTAGAAGAAAACAAAAATGCTGCAGGGACGGTTCGGTGCATGCACGCCAGCTGGGCCTTGGTCCGAACGGTCGGCAGTTCAATCGCAAACGGCTCACGTGCTCGAGACTGTCTGCTGTTTTTCCCTTCTCCCACTCTTTGTCGCTGCCACTCTTCGACGGCTCCAGCTGGTTTTGTGGAAACACCGTTGAGGAACCCAATGGTCTGTTATAGGCGCTGTGACACCGGGGCTTATCAGATGCAGTCAGACTACCAAGTGTCCGTTGCAAGACTAAAGCGTGCATATCCGCACTTAAGGTTCCATGCACTCAGCTGAGTGGTTCTTCTAGGTTCCGGTCAGGAATGCGCAAAATAAGGAAGGTGACATACTTTCGCCATATTGCGGAGCGTACAAGTTTTGGGCAAATCCCGCAGCCGGAATATTCCAATTTCAATCATGAAGAGCGTGCCACATAACATGCAACTAACACAAGAAACCACCAAATCCTACAAAACCACAGAAAAGCGGGCGTCTATGGCTACACGTACATTTGGTCAGAGGCCTGCTTGTCACCCATTCATTTCTCGCCACGTTTCCTGGTTTACCTGATGCAATCCACATGATGTTGATTTGATTGTATCTTGTCGGATCTGGTCTCATAGCTACCAGCATGAGACGAGAGCAGTGGGCTTGAGCAGCTGCCCGCTCAGGATATAAGTCTGATATTCAAAAGTAATCAGAAGAGTCAAAATCTGCATGACAAGGGGGGTTAGGTGCGAGAAACCAGACTTGTGCATTAAACCTGATTCACACCCTCAAAATCTCATTCACATTTGCATTCGCATCTACAGTTACGATCCCACGTCTCATACGTTACAGCTTTGCACTTGGGTATCATCGCAACTCTGAAACCAAAATTCCGCCGGTATTAATACCTATATAAGACTCATGGTTGTCATCTTGACCATCGCATTGCAGGTCCATCTCATACAGACAAACAGCAAGCACCACCGTGTGGCACTGTTCCTTGAAAAATTGCGCATGAAGCACGTCATTCAAGATCCTCGAGAACTACTTAATATCAACAGCAATGGCTGACAGGGATTGAATGTGATCCCTTTCCTGCAAGTGCTAGCAATGGAAGTTCTTCATTCTGGACCCACTGCATGATTCAAAGTCAGTTTCTTGCGCTATTGCCCTAGTTTGCTCCTCAAAGAAAAATACACTTACGTGCTCAACAATGCATCTGTCATCCATACGGAACTCCTCATCAATCTCCCTAAACTGCCTTTTGTACTCGACCCAGCCCTGAGGATACTGAAAAGTTACGCCCAGCGGCATGATGTTTGACGGGTCCCAAGTGTCCGACAAAGCATCCCATCCAGTTTCAAATCCATTTGGGACCGAAATATTGTGGTTCTGTTGTTGCAGCTCAAGGTTAGCTCACTTGATAGATCCCTTCGTCCGAAACGAAGCATGCTTACAACATAGTCCCGAGCAACATATTAAAATGCCTCAGTAATATCAGACTTGTAGATCAAAGCCTGCACAATAGCATCGAACCGAGCCTTACTCTGCTTTTTTGTGGTGCTGGGGTCGCGCACACAAGGCGCTGGCTTAGCAGGAGTTGCCCGAGGCCCCACCAACGTGTCGGTTCTGGTGTGCAGACTGGTTGGCGCTGCAAGCACAGAGACAGACGTAGTGATTGTCGAGGCAATGAACGCAAAGCGCATCGTGGAAATGAGTTTGCAGTTTCTCAAGCATTCAGTGTTCTGGGGCACATGTTTGTGCGCCACTCGAGGCAGACTGATGTAGATTTATATCTGTCTTTGCCCCCCCCCTTTTTTGGCGCCACGCTGACAGCTGGACTTCGGCCATACTGTCTGCATTACCCCAGATTTTTTTTGCCGCTCAATTGCCTGCTCCCTTTCCCACACCACCAAAAATGCGGGGTCACTGCAGATGTGGCAGGCAGAAATTGTATTGAACAAAGTTCTGACTGCAGCGACGATCAAGGATATACATACATATAAGTACATACCATACACCTCAAACAGCAGCCTCATTGTGGTGTGCCTTATCTTTTGGCAAGATAAGCAGCGTGTATGATCACTTGCACCGTCTGGTAGTCTCTCTTGTTGCAATTTTAGATTCTTCTTAATAAATACAACAAGGAGTCAAAAATCAGAGCACACTGAATAGAAGAATGACCATGATAACCTTTTACTTGTATGCCATACCTTTCTACTTCCTGCTTAGTTCAAATGCCTGGTATCTAGCCGCGAGAGGTCATTGGTCACCTTGTACTTACGTACGCTCATCTCGCGTAGCCTCGGCGCAAACCGCTTGATTGGTCAATTCTCCGCTTAGCAGAATTTACCAAAAGATATCTCGCAATCTTCACAGAGCAACCCAATCCTCCGTTGTTGACCGTTTTCGGACGATTTCAGCGATGGGCGGACTATCTCGACTAATGGTTGACGTCATTAACCCGCCGCTAAGCCGTATTTGGCACACTACGAAACCCTCCGGAGCCGAGTCACAGAGATATAGGTAGACGATAGTTTCACGTGTCCAGAGTAGAAGACATTCGTTTTTTCGTCATACTTACAATCCACTCACTCACGTCGAAGTGACCGCAAGCGTCTGGTCTAGTAGAGCAACTTACCCGCCATGAACTACATATCAAGTACATAGCTTCCGAACCGTATATCATCTCAGCTCAACTAAACAACTTGCCAGACCTCGTCAACTCGGATGCGGTCATCAATCCTCTCCTGGATAATGGCTACCTCCCACACGCGGTGATCCGCGTAGGAATCAGGCGCCAGCTAGCCGACCGCTTGCAGTCGATAGCTACTACGTCCTTGGAGTCCGCTTATGAGACCAAGATGAAGTACGTCAAGCTTCTCCGGGAAAGGCCAATTGCAATTGCGACCGCAACTGCAAATGAGCAGCACTATGAGGTAGGGACAAGTGTTCTCAAGGGCATGTTAGGTCCCCGGATGAAGTATTCGGCCTGCTTGTATGAGAAGGGCGGGGAAACGCTAGCGCAAGCCGAGATTGCCATGATGCGACTGTATATTGAAAGGGCGGAATTGAAGGATGGAATGAACATTTTGGACCTCGGGTGAGTTTTCTTCCCTTTTCTAATCTTGCATTTGCTGTTTCAAAGCACAAAATAATCACGTGCGTCCTGAAGCCGAATGGGCAATGTGTTTCACACGAGATGGCTAACAATGACTCCAGATGTGGCTGGGGCTCAGCATCTCTCTTCATGGCGGAAATGTTCCCCAACTCCAAGATCACCGGCTTCTCAAACTCAAGAACACAAAAAGAATACATTGACAGCGTAGCCGTATCAAAAGGACTAAAGAACCTGACCATTATCACGGGCGACGTTGTCGACTATGAGTTCCAGCCCGAGGCATACGACCGCGTTATTTCTATTGAGCTCTTCGAGCACATGAAGAACTACCAGCTTCTGCTGCGCAAAGTCGGTTCTGCGCTGAAACCCGGTGGCAAGCTCTTCGTTCACATTTTTGCGCACTGCACGACTCCGTATGATTTCGAAGAGGGATGGATGACAGAGCATTTCTTTACAGGTGGCACTATGCCTTCGGCTGATTTGCTACTGTACTTCCAAGATGACTTGAGAGTCAAGAACCAGTGGTGGGTGTCCGGTATGCACTACTCAAAGACATGTGAGGATTGGCTGGTTACCATGTTGAAGAATAAGGAGAGTATCTGGAAGGGACTGGTGGAGACGTATGGAGAGGAGGGTGCGTTGACTTGGTGGAATAGGTGGCAGGTTTTCCACATGGCTTGCTCCGAGTTGTTCAGGTGGAATGGAGGTGATACATGGGGAGTCAGCCACTATCTGTTTGAGAAGCCTTCCGCGTAGGTTGCGAAGGCCGATGGGAAGTGTTGAAAGCGAGTGCAGACTCGCATAATGTCTAAGAACCAACCCCATAAATATCACACGGAATTTCATAAAATCGTAAGACGAAGAATAAAAAACTGCATCTGACGCGATTGCTCTATTTTGCATTGATCCGAACTTCCTGGCGCTGTCCACACGGGACATTGCAGCCACTGGGCGTGGTATCTATCTCCAGCACTCCGTTATCTGTGCGATTGAGCATGCCTCGTGTTCATATCTTCTAAGCTCTCTCTACACGCCTAATGCTCCTGCATTCATTGTTCAATGGTCCCATGGGTGCTTCCAGCCCAAAAGCGCGGGGCCGTCCTTCTTCGCGCGGTACATCAACTGCGCCTGTCAGCACCTTTCTCGCTCCTGCCAGATCTCTAACATACGAAGAACCACATTGACGCGCCGAGACCCGTTGCCATGAATCGGTATAGCGGCCTGACCGGGTGGATGTGGATGGGGTGGTTTGGGTGCGGCGCATATTTGGGCGGGCCCATGCGGGAGCGTGTGGGTTGCATCGTGTCTGGTGAGCCTGTAGAAGTATCAATACTGATGCCAGCTTTGGAGAGCGTCGCACTGCGCCTACCTGCCGCGTCTGGGGTGCAATGGCTCTGTGACGCTTTTGGTGGGTGAGGTGTGATTAAGGTCGATCGCGGACTACGCTAACACTGCGGTGCCAAGATCGCCCCATCCACCGTCAATCGCGGCTTCTGCTCCTTCACCCGCGACAATCCCGACCACAATCGTCATCTCTGCCCAGCAGCTTTGGCCTCGAGCCCCCCGCCCATACCAGTGCCCACCATCGCGACCACACACTCAGCGCTACAAAGACACCGACCGATACATCGCGCTCACCCTCGCTGCATACGTTAACGCCGCGGCCCACTTAGACCAGAGTAGAAAGCGTGCCTGCGGACCCTTGAGAATCACGTATCGTTAACACCACCGCCGGTATGGCGACTCCGGCGGGTGCTCCCCCGTCGCGCACCCTCCAACGCCAATTCAAGGGATGCTGCAAGATTGGCGAGTACGAGATGATGCAGAAACTGGGCGAAGGCACTTTTGGTGAAGTCCACAAGGCGCGTCAGCGATCGACCGGCCATGTCTTTGCGCTCAAGAAGATTTTGATGCACAACGAAAAGGACGGGTTCCCTATCACGGCGCTGCGAGAAATCAAGCTCCTCAAGATGCTGTCGCACGATAACGTCCTGAAACTAGAGGAAATGGCTGTAGAGCGGCCCAAAACTGAAGGCAGGAAACGTGCGATACTGTACATGGTCACGCCGTACATGGACCATGATCTGTCAGGTCTCCTCGACAACCCCGAAGTCCAGTTCAAGCCACCGCAGATCAAGTGTTACATGCTGCAGTTGTTCAAGGGTCTGGCATACCTACATGACAACCACATTTTACATCGAGACATGAAGGCAGCCAACCTTTTGATCAACAACTCTGGGCGATTACAGATAGCCGATTTCGGTCTTGCCAGACACTACGACGAACCGGTTCCACAAAGAGGCAGGGGCAATGGTGAGGCAAAACGCGAATACACTTCACTAGTTGTTACTAGGTGGTACCGACCGCCAGAACTGCTCTTGCAACTCCGAAGATACACACCGGCGATCGATATGTGGGGCGCAGGCTGCGTCTTTGGTGAAATGTTCAAGCGCAAGCCCATCCTCACGGGCCAAAGCGACATACATCAGGCACAGATTATCTTCGAGCTGGTTGGATCCCCGAACGATACGAGTATGCCGGGCTGGAACGAGCTACCAGGAGCAGAACCTGTTCGCGCGTTCCCAACAAGTACTGGAAATATTGCGCAAAGATTCCGTGAACTATCGCCCCTTGGACTGTCGCTTATCAAGGACCTCATGAGACTCGACTGGCGGAAACGTATCAACGCGATTGATGCCATCGACCATCCATACTTCCGAGAGGAACCATTACCAATGCGCGAAGAAGATATTCCTCACTTTGCCGACTCACACGAGCTGGATCGCCGGAACGCTCGTGGCCAAAGGCAAGCACTTCCTCCTGCGCCACAAGGCGGTACTGTAGGTGGAGGTCCCAATGGAGAATGGACAGGCCAAGGTCCACCACCACAGCCGTGGCAAGGCAACGACCGAAGATACGGCGGCCCCCAAGACCGAGGGCCACCGGGTGTCGACCGTGGCCTCAGAGGTGGTGGTGGCGGCGGCTACGACCGACGAGGCTACGAACACCGACCCCCTCCACCCCCTCCCCCAGGAGAACGACGTCCAAATTGGGGCGGCGGAGACCGCGGCCACAACAACCTCCCCGCACCCCCAGCAGACGGCCGCCACCCGCTCCCTCCCGTCCCCCGCTACGGCCCCGATGGCGCAGACCGCCGCAGAGGTAATGTTCCCCCCGGCGACACCTACATCCCCAGCTACGGCGCAGACGGACACCGTCGCTCCCGCGAACCAGACGACCGTCCACGCCGCGGCTCCCGCGACTCTGGCAATTCCCGTGAGGGTTACACCGACGACCGCGCTGATCGGAGCCGCGCGTATCGTGATCGTGACCGCGACCATCGAGGCGGCAATAGAGGAAACTTTATGCAGGAGAGGCGGGATGCGCGTACGCGGTCGAGGAGTCCCGAGCGCAGAGATGCGAATGGAAGTGGCAATGGAAGGGGGAGGGATGTCTCGGATATTTATAGGAGGAGATGAGGATGCTAATGCTGATCAAAGGTTCGGTCTGGTCTTTTTTTTCTTCTTCTTTCCTCTTTACATTCTTTGTTCGTGGCCGAACCTGGTCCCGTTTGTGGAGTTTGGGTTGCCAACCCCCAAATGGATGAGAGATTTGCATGGTTTACACTTCGAAGTTTGAATGGAGAACATGGGGAAAAAAACGTAGATCAAACGCGCATTTTTAGTCTTCTCTTTTTTCTTTGTATTTCTAGGTTGGATACGCGCGTCTGTGAAGTGAAGAGATGCCAACACGGAGGAGGGATAACACAGATTGGGATCTCTTCTTATTCTTCTTGCTTCTCTCTTTTCTTTTCACTCTGGCTGTTTTGCTGTGAAAAGCGATCACGACACTATACACACATTTTGGTGTACGCGCGTATAAGCAACAAAAAGGGGCAATAACTTGTGTCGATCTTTGCATTTTCCGGGCGTTTTTTGTTTGACTTCCTCTCTTTTCGAACATTCTTGCACGCAATAGCAAGCTTCCATGGTCTTTTTCCCTCCTTCTCTATCTTTTTCCGCTGCTTGAATTTGGAGCGGAATGATGCTGCTTCAAGTCGGGACATTGTGGTTCAGGCTAGCTTCGTACACAGAGGGGTTTTTTTGTCTTTAGTGTTTTTCTGGGTTTGATCGTTTGGGTTTGGTCGGTTGCGAGTGGAGGGCTGCACGTTGTTGATACCATAGATCAGAGTAAGACGCGTGTAGGATAAAATTGAGTTTGCTTAATGTATTTTTTTTTTTGCTTTGATGGCTTTGGATACTTAATTTGCTATGGTCTCGAGTTAAGAGGTGAGTCTGCATTCGATGAGCGTAGCAGATATAGGATTTGGCGACTTCGGATCAGTGTCGTCTTGCTTGCATCCCTAAAAAGGAAGTGCTAGATCCGGATTTTGTCAAACTTTGACCTGCAGTGCCTTGGATTTTCGGACAGAGTATCGTTGGCATGGCACCGGGACGCAGATGGCGCGGGGGCTGTCCGGGCTTCTGCGTAAGACCTACTTCAGGCCAAGATTGTCTTGACATGCTGCTGGAGGGTAGAACCACACTTGCGAGTCCACGTATGGCTCAAATCTTCCCATGTAATCAAGTTCTTCAATACCCTTCCCAGCTTCTCACTCTGGATCCCAATCCGGACGGCACGTGCACCCTTCACTCCGGACATGCATGACGCCCGTTCGACTAGCCTCAACCAACCACTCCGCCCACTCGATCTCATGCTCAACAATTGTGCAATGCTCGCCCGTCTCAACCCTCTCTTCCTTAACCTTGAGCAGGAAATCGCGTAATTTGAGCGCACACTTGGCCATGGAATTCGATTGACCGGGCGACCGGTGTCGTTGCTGCTCAGCGTACATCATGCGCTCCATGCGAGTTAGCAACTGTGCTTGGATGTCACTGGATTCCTCAAATCGGGCGACGAGCGCTTTGGCACGGATTTTGAGGCGCAGCGTGTCTTCCCGGGTGGCACGTGTACAAGGTAGAACGCGCTGGGGGCGCGCGAGATGGAACGACCCGACGTCACGCAAAACCACAAGTTCGTTGAAAGACTGATCTTCGATTGTCGATGTTGAATCGCTGGAAGTCGGCCGCGGAGTTTGCTCTGTTCCGTTCCAGTTGAGACAGGGGCTGGGTTGCGCAGAGTAGCCAGTGTCTTGGTCCGATGGATGCTGTTCATCAGAATCCCAATCGCATTCGGTGTCTGGGTAATCATCTGAGTCGCACATGAAAGTTTCAGAGTAGCTGAAGCCGTAGCCTTCTCGCTTCTTCTTTGGTTTCGCTAGCTGGGGTGCTTGCGAGGTGGACTCTGAATGTCGGCGCGGTTCCTGAGATGGTGATGCCCTGGTTTGAGGTGGATTTGCAGAGACGGACCGGTTTACGCTGCCAGTCATAGTAAGTCCGGAGAAGCTTTGGGTGAATGCTTCTTCGCGGCCTCTCCGAGCTGGAGGCTCATCAGGTGGTACTGAGAATGAAAATCTGAGTTCAACGTTTTGCGGCTTTGCTTGCTCGTTCTCTGACTTTTGTGTCTGTTTCTGTGTTGGTCGCACCACCGCCTGCGACTTTACAGCGGGCGCTGGGTGTTCCATCAATGTTGTCAGAGTCGCATCCACATTTTTCTATGCAAAAAAGTTAAAACAGCCCAAAATCAAGAGCAAACAATGCGACTCACGGGTCCTCGCCACCTAGTTGGCCGTTTAGTCTTGCCACTCATAAATCGTCGCTCCTGTAGGGTGGGGGTCTCTTTGGACACAGGAAGCGGGATGGGATCAAAACTCCGGCGCGTACTCAGCCGCTTTCTTGTAGGGCCTCTTCCCTTCTGCTCTTCTTCAGCTACAAACTCTATCTGGTTCTTAGGAAGACCTACATTGACGGGCATGTTTAGAGACTGAGGGGTAATTGTTCAAAATGATATGTAGCTGGCCCAGTATCGGTCACAGCAGCGAAAAAAAGGTCAACACAATTTCAGTATCAGTGGGTAAATTTCAAGGTTGCAGTTTGTTGATGGGGTGGTGTTTGGAGTATATCTAGGCGACTTCAGTAGGCTGCGCGTTGGGGTCGCGTGAAGGCTGACTAGCGCGGTTAGCGCCGAACGTGGCTCCCATCCTATCACCGGGGTGAATCTCCGTGTTTTGATACACAAATGCCCCACCATGTTAGGGTCCGTTCACAGCTGGGATACTCTAGGTGTGGATTCGTGTTGATCACGCTGCCATGGCGACAACTAAATGGTATCATTTTGAACATTTCGTCACTCTTACTCTTGCTTGGTATAAGACGAGCCCCTCATTGGGCATGCATGCATCATCTCTTGCCATTCTCCAGAAGCTCCACCCCTGTTCTTACAACACCAATCGCTGCACCAGTCTGGATCGCTTCACTACCTCCTCCACTCAATCTATACTCAATGTCTGCGAGACCTGACATCCATGTCACCATAACTTGTGGCGGCACATCATTTGCGACCAGCTCTTCACTAATCGCTGTTAGGATATCTGCAAGCGCCAATCCCTTCAATGTCTTGAGGTTATTTATGGTCCGCAGACACTCCGTCATGTCATTCTTAGACAGCAGTGTTTCGATAATGTACTTGATGTCTGAAGGATGCGGGGCTGCTATACAGTCGTAGATGGTGGTTTGAGTGATTTGGTCACGCACAATTGAACTTGGGTCGACCGCCGGTTTGCCTGGGGGCTGGAGTGGCGTGCTGGAAGCGTGGCAGGCCTGTAGTACGTTGAGCGCTCGTCTCATATCTCCCTTGCTTAGAGTGACAAGCGAATCAGTGGCGTCTTGTGTAATGTTGACCTTTTCCTCCTCAATCACCTTGTCCACTAGGTGCCTAATGTCCTGGTCCTTCAGCGGCGAAAATCGAAATCTTGTACAACGCGAGAGCAGGGCGGGCGAGAGTTTGTGTGTGTAGTTTGCAATAATACAGAAACGTGTGTTTGCCGTGTACTTCTCCATGATTCGTCTCAATGCCATCTGGGCGGTGGAAGTCATGGCGTCGGCTTCGTCGAGAACAATGAGTTTGAAAGTTGCCAGCGAAGAGTCTCCTGCTTTGGGTGCTGCAGAGAAGATTTGTTTGGTACTGCTGAATGTCTTGATCTGCTCTCGGACTACTTCGATACCTCTGTCGTCTGATGCGTTTAGTTCGAGAACCATCTGCCGCATGTTCTTGTTTCCGTATATGCGTCGTGCGAGTGCCAGGACGGTCGACGTCTTTCCGGTTCCGGGAGGTCCATAGAGGAGAAGATGCGGTAATCGCTGCTGGGGTCAGCGAGGAGCCTTTGGACGGGGCAACGACCTTACGTTTGAGTCGACGAATTTGTTGATCGTGGCTATGATGTCTTTGTGGCCTTCTACATCGTCGAGAGACGCTGGTCGATACTTTTCTACCCTATGCAAGCTTTAGAAAAGATGCAATCGTGTCACATGCAGACACATACCATGGCAGTGTGTCTTCAGCTTCTACAGGTAGATTGGCAGCGCTCCGCTTGCCCTTTTTCGAGTCTCCGCCAAAGCTGATAGACTTGTCGACAGGCGCATCAACGTCCATTTCATCTTCAATGTCCGACATGGTGAGAGACTTGATTTGTGTCAATTTGGTGCCCTTTGTATGATTTTGAGGTCAGGTTGGAGCGGTGAGTGCAGGGATGCTGCAATGTGTAGGATGCTGGGCTGGTGCTAATAAAGTCGGGGCAGACGCGCCGCGTGAAGAGACGCGTTAATTGGCGGCGGCTTAGTCACCCCCGCCCCACGGTTCAGCCCTACGAGCACACCTCATACAGGCGGCCAGCGGAGCTACGCCGTCACCTCCGCCGAGCTCAAAGCACACGACCCAGAACAACAATCTGCGGGCACCCACATTCCAAAATGCCTGTGAGTCTTGAACTGTTGCAGACAGACGACTACTGTCGAAGAAAACATTCCCAAACACCATGACAGCTGACACCCCGCCAGGCCTACCACTCAGTCTTCCTCGATGAGCCCAACCAGCAATTGATTGGTAGGACGCTCCCCCATTCAACTTTGATGAGTATACCTTGATTGACTGCTACAACAGGCAACTTTGCCCTCCTTCCTCTTCGTACACGCACTCGTGGGCCCGCCGTCCAATTGCCTGCTCTGCCCGCAGATGTCACCGAGCTCACCATTGAAGCCTCACACGAATCCTACGACCCCCTCGACGAGGTTCTCGCCCTGTTCCGCGCCAACACATTCTTCCGCAACTTTGAGATCAAGGGGCCAGCCGACCGTGTGCTCATCTATGGCATCCTCTATGTGAGCGAAGTGCTGGGCAAGATCAAGCCCAACATGAGCCGGAGAGAAGCTGAGAAGGTACGTGGCAGCTGCGACAAGAATGTGGAGCCAAGGCTAACTTTGTCAAACAGGCCGTCATGAACTCGGCTCTTGATACAAACTTTGCAATTCCTGGCGACGCTGGATTCCCATTGAACCAGGCTTTTGAAGCACCTCCAGACAGGAACTCGGCCGAAGTGCTGCGACAGTACATCATGCAGATGCGCCAGGAGTTGGCAACACGGTTACTCAACAGGGTGTACGCAGACGATACCAACACTCCTAGCAAGTGGTGGCTGAGCTACACAAAGAGAAAGTTCATGGGCAAGGCTTTGTAGTTGCTGCATTATGGTTTTGAGGGGCTTTACCGTCTTCAAGATTTGACAGTGATAGAATCATGATTTGGTTCCTCAAGTGGTCAAGTACCCATATGACTCGTTTCAAGATATTGCATGCAAACATTCCTGCTGTTTCAAAAAGTGTCATCCTTTCATGCATGTGTTTGTCTCACCCGGATGCTAACTTATGTGCTTGCGTTTGCATGTCTGGTCAGGCAGGCGCAAACGATTGCTTGCTGGTTTTAGCATTCACTTCCCGCTTTTTCTTAATCTCCACCATATACCACCCACTCTCCCCGCCTCAACCCCTCGACATTCTCCGCACAGCATTGTTACTACATTGAATACCATCGTCAGCTATGGTTTGGATAGGATTTGGTCTTAACTCACGGGCCGCTGTACAGTCACTGACAAAATACGATGGTATTTCAGTTTCGCCGAGAAAGTGTAAAGCATGCCCCGAAAAACTAATGAGTTATAGAAGACTCTTTAGAACTGTGCGAATCACCACCTGGACATTTTATTGGTAATGATGTAATCTAACTAGAATAAAAGGCAAGACGGGAAGGATAGGGTGTGCCCTGAGGATGAGCTTGCATTGCTGCCATATAGTACGTTCACAACGGATCTCTTGCGATTGGACAGCATCAACTTTATGCAATCATTAACACAATACTGATTAAAGTGCCGCCACTTTTCGGCTGTGAACTTCCCCCGTGTGGTCTCATGCCCCAACTCGCATACCAAAACGTTGTTCGGCGCCTCCGCAAGTTGTGGCTTCTGCGCGCAAAAGAAAATCCCACCGAGATTTCCCTCAAGTACATCTGCGAAAAGGTTTTGGACGAACTTCTAGATGAATCTGAGAAGTTGCCATTCGGAAAAGCGAACAAGACCACAAGACGCACGCCCTGGCGACGTGAACAAGTCTTCAGGTTCGAGCCTTGCTGGGCGCACTACTTTGTTCTTGAGGCGAGGCGGATGAGTGGAAGGAGCAGCATGACATCGATGGAGGGTGAGACGCAGGATGCACATCCAGAAACGGAATTCGTCATACCGATGACGCTAGGTATTCATGTCAAGAACCCTGCGAATAAAGAGCATGTATGTCAGTTGTGGAAGGAGTGGCACAAAAAGAAGAGGCGCCCTGTACCGGCACTGAGCCCACAAGGAAGCACTGCCGCAGTGGAAGACGTAGCAGGTAGTATGCAGGATGACTCAAAGGCAAGTGGAGAGACAGAAAATTACTCGGTTATGTTGGTGTAGGGCATGGTGTCCCTGACCCAGGCAGAGCAAGAAATCCTGCAGGGACATGTCTTGAACCATTAGAGCAGCTGGTGTGTAATTCTTTTTGGTTAGGATGTGCTTGTATTAGTTCCAGGGTTAAGGCAGTAGCAAAGTATTAAATAATGCACACAAATCTTTGAACAGCAACACTATCTCCTTGGGTCACGAGGTGTTTACATCCTTCAAGCTTTGCAAATATGACTCGCATTCGTCGCCGCAATTCTTTGTTTCAAGGACATGCTCTCTAGGATGAGAAAAATCAAGTATGATGTCAGGGCCCTAGTCTACTTGCGGTGTTGTAGACTCACTTTCACCGTGAGGCTTCTGCCTTGCTCTGTTCTCACTGTCCCACTAACAATCCAGTGATATAAAATTGTCCCTCCTCACACAACCATCCATCCCTTTTTCTCTCTACCTCATCTTCAACTGGTACACAAATCACCTTTTCTCAGCCTACCTTGCCTGCATTGCAGTGTGCACCAACTACCTTTAACAACATCACAACATCACAACAATCGGTGAGTGGTCTTCTTGTTACATGCCCTGTTGGCGTTACTGATCCGATAACAGATCTTCATCCCCAACCGTCAAGATGCCCAAGTGGACTCCCGAGCTAGACGCGATTGTAAGTAAACCATGCACTACCTCAGCTCTTTATGCAGATTTTCACAGTCACTGACATACCTTTCAGATCCTCCATGGTGTCTTTGAGGAATGCAACATCAGCTTCTCCAAGCCCCTCTGTGCCAAGATTGCTCAGCGAGTCAATGATACTGGAGTCGGTATGTTTGCCATCTTTCCTACACATGTTTGTTTTATTCCTCTCCCCGTGTTCCTTGTCTACGCAAAGATCTGATGTTCCCATTCTAGAATGCACTGCCAAGGCCATTGAGAATCGCCTGTACTCTTGGAAGAAGAAGAACGTATCCGGCGCCATGGGCTTGAACTCTGCTACGAGTACTCCTGTTCAAGCACCCGTCACTCCCAAGACACCGCGATCCCGCGTCAAGGCCAAGGCAGAAGATCCCACGACGCCTTCGCCCTCTACCCGAAAGCGCAAGGCTAGTAAGCTCAAGACTGAGTCTGCTGAGTCCCAGTCTGAGGAGAATAGTGAGCTTGATGATATGCTCGCTGTCAAAAAAATGAAGGCTGAGGCTCTTGAGGAGGAACACACTCTCGATGTGACGGCTGAGGAACAAATCTGAGGAATTGTTCTTGTCCACTGAGCACCTGGCTGTATGGTTGTAGATGTACGACACAGTCGCGAGGCAATGAGTTTTCAGGATAAAGTTTGAGTACCTTGCACGCTGGAAGATTCTAATTTCCACGGTGGGGTATTGGCCTAATCCGTCGTTGCAAACAGCATGTACAGCGGTTTAGGCAGATGCACACATGAATTCATGCAACATATCACGGGTCTTTGACATGTCTCTCATTTCTCTCTCTGCTTCACTTCCGAAAGCACATGTCTTCCCTCTTATCCGCACACCATGACGATGTTGACTTCTTGTGCGCTCATTACCATCAATACCACACAGAGCTCTTGTTCTGCTCACTATCCTCTGAACAGTTGCTCCCTTCAGGAGCCAATCTCAACAACTTTTACTGAAACACGGTAATGCGGAGAACAATTCACATCTAGTTGTTACATGTAGATAACTCACACACAATTCCAATCCAAACATCTTTGTAGGAGAGCAAAAGGAAACCGAGCGAAAGATGTAGGTTGCAATTTTCCGAATGCCCACCTGGGGCTAGTTCGACAGCCCATGCGTGGCATGTCATGTCTTTTGCAAGAGTGTCAAAATATGCCTAGGCATCTCGATGCTCGTATACGTCTACTGTGGTAGCTGAATAAATCACTCGAGGCTGTGCTGGCGTTCTCACATTTACGGATGTGGCTGAGCAGCCATCGCGAATGCGCCTACTTGCTCGCTAATCTCTTTACACTCGCTTTAAGGCTACCCGCGGGATGGACACACTACGATTTTGTCAGCGACTTGGCCCCTCTTCTCGCGTTATCGAGTGCCATCAATTCCCATTGGCTCCTAACCACCCACATCAGCCGCAGCTAACGGTGGGGGCTGTGCATCCACCAAATGAACCGGTGTAACTCTAGTCATCACAACGGATTTATCAGGCAGCCCTGCTGCTCAGGCACTCGCTCGTGAGCACTTTTCAGCTCAGCCAAAACCAACGCCTTGCCTGCCCATATCCCCCTTTCTAGTATCATCCATCGACACACACACGCAAGCACGAGACCGCAATGACAAAGTCAAATAAGCACGGAAAGAAGCAGCCGAATCTTTGGCGAGAAGCTTACAAGGCGCTCTATGCTGATGGCGCGGAGAAAGAGCATATGCAAAAGGTCCAGGCCAAACTGAGAAAACGACTCAATCAACCGGATCTGGACCTCAAGACTGATGAAGGGTACAAGGTGATGCTGTCGTTTATCAGTAAACAAGGGAGCAAGCTGGAGTCAAAAAAGCGCCCAGAGAGATTCAACAGGGTGTCACAAAATATGGGGATGATTAAAGAACTGTTCGGGGCGGGCGCAGCAGTTGGTGGTCCCTATGTGGCTATCCCCGTTGCCGCCTTGTTCATGGTTTTCTCCGTATGATAGATTATGCATGCTGACTTTACGTACAACCACTCTAACATCCCAACCAGATGGAAGAAATATACACGTCTGAGAAAGGCGCCATGATGGATTTGGCCGAGGTTGCGTCGGATTACTATGTTTATACTGCCAAAAGCCACGAGCGTGTCAGTATACGGCCTGAGGATGATGACGATATGCAGAGATTGAAGCAGAAGCTGCGCGTCGTCTATATTGGCCTGTTCAAAGGAATCATGTTTGCATCGGCGCAGCTGGCAAACTTCCTATGTGACGACTCTGCGCCCAAGAAATGGTTCAAGAACGCGATGAAGATGTACAATTGGAGCGAGCAACTCGAAAACCTCAACAAGCGCTACGAGACGAGCCAGAAATGCTGCGACGAGATGGTCTGGCGTCTGACACTTGGCACGGCGCCGAAGGCAGAAGAAACCAAGCTGTCTCTGGGGCCTGGTCCGCGCAATGCTTTACACTGGGCGGTCGCAGACAAGCTATATACCAGGATCGACGAACTCGTGTCGAAACGGGAATGTCCCATCAATGCCCTTACACCAAAGCGCTGGACGGCATCACATCTAGCGGCGGAGCACGGCGATACCAAGATCCTACGGACCTTGCGTTCCGTGCCCGGTATCGATATCCACATCAAGAATGTCGACGGACGCACCCCTCTCCACATTGCCGCGCTAAACAATCGAGTCGGCGCCGTAAAACTGCTGCTGGAATGGGACCACAAGCTGCTCTCTGCGCGTGATAACAAAAGCCGCACCGCATACCTGCTTGCGGCCGCAAAAGGCCACTTCAAAGTGCTTGAAGTGCTCAAGAACAAAGGCCAGGACATGAACGAGTCGACGCCCAAGAACGGGTGGACAGCGCTCCATCTCGCAGCCGAACAGGGCCGCGTCGACGCTGTCAAATTCCTGTTGGAAAACGGTGTCCGCAAGGATGCCCGCACTACGGCCGGCGCATCAAAAGGCTGCACTGCAAAGCAAATCGCCGAATTCAAATCTAAAGCAGATGTTGTTGCGCTGCTTTGAGGAAATATACCTCGGTTCAGTCGAAAGCAGTACACAGTCAATCAATGCCCTGTGCGTTTCAGCAGGTTACATCCCCCCCACTACGTATCCAGGCAAAGTAGAGAGATAGAGAGAGCATTGGTAAACTTTACAAGGAGCCTCTCCATTCGGCGGGCCATTTCCTGGCGAAGAAAAAAAAGATAAGCAAACTATGCCGCCCTACTACTTAGCTCCCACAATTCCCGAATCCCATGCGTTGGACGAGACAAAAAAAGCAAAAGGACTGATGAGGAAGTTTACATATCTACACGGAACTTTTTTGTTTTATTTTGGAATGTCTGGCGGGCAGGGGGGTTGTTGCTGGATGATCCAAGTTCTAGATGCACGCACGGCGTTAAGAAAGTCGCGGAGACGCCAATTTGCTTGGCCTTGTATGCGTGAGCGGGCCCCCCCCGGCTTTCTTGCTCACAAATACGTGGGTGCTGATTGGGCGGTGTGGGTTTGAATATACTTCAAACAAGTCGTGGTGGGTTCGCACTGAGCTTTCACGTGCGTACGTAGGTGTGTTATCTTTTTTTTTTGCGTTCTTTGCGTCGAAGAAGCAAGTGAAGGATCGTTTTATTTCCCATTGTCACCACCAACCTATGATAGTACAGAGGCTTTGTAAACAAAAAAACTGTCAGGTTTGTAGTATAGTGTTATGCCAGCCTTATGACGTACATTTTTCCGACCGCACACTCCACGCGTTTCATGCGATATTTATAGATCCTTTGGATTCAATGCTACATAGTACTTTCATTTAAACAGTGTGCATACAGTAAAACTCTTGGTGTGTATACAGCGCCTGGAATGGGCGAGATTTCCGGGCCTTGGTGTTTCGATGGGGTGGCTGTCTGCAGCGGGGAAGGCGAATTGTAGGCTTGTTAAAAAAGAGCATGAACCCTGTTTGCCTCCCGGCCCGGCCGAGGCAGTAGGAGGGAGGAGGGGCCTGCACAACATCGGCTGCTGTCTGGAGTATGATGAAAGGATGCGAATGCTGGGATAGAGCCGCATTTTTTTCTTCTCTCTCTCCTTGGCAATAAGGGGGGGCTAGAGGCGTTTGCAAAGTAAAGCCGCGGTAAGTTTTTATTCGATAGTAATGTGCGTCTATCCATCTAAGAATAAACTTTGCTGTTTACCTGACTTGGCACCTTCATGACATGTTGTACTCTGGAGTTGATACCATGATAGGCATACTGTTGTAGGGAAATGGTTAAAGGGTGTGGCGCACCGTCGTAGTTTAGCGGGAGTGCAATCTCCGATCCCTGAGTTTAGCTCCACTACTACCAAGACAGACTGCGCTGCAAGTCAAGCATATCTCGTGTATGTAGTCGCCCGACGGAACCGACTGAGCCACCATGTTGCTGATGATGGCCATGTATTGATGATGTTATCGTGTGTTGGTGGATGTTCCATCTGCCTAGCTGAGCCCCAGAATGGTCAGCAGACTAGTAAGGTGTTCGCAGCAGCAGCACGCACGAGTGGCAATGATACAGTCATGCGTGAGACTGATGCTGGCAATGCAACGAGCAAAAAAGGTCAGCATAGCATAGCAAAGTCGTAGTAGCCCGGGCTAGTCCCGGAGCCACGCATTCGAGTCAGGCACCTACTTTGACGTTGTTATGTCGCGCGGGCCGAGCGACCATGGCTCCGCTGTCCAAGACCTGGCCCACCTGCAAGACAGGGGGGAGGACCGCGAACATTCCTGGGGTTCTCTCCTCCCCAGCGAATCCGAACCACTTTTGTTTTGCCATGAACGTTACACGATTCGAGCGAGATCCAGAGAACAAGGGCGTGACATCTTTCAAGAGACCGGGTGACAAAAGGGCAGTAAGAGGCACGTGTAGTTGAAAAATGGTCCTGGGGGGGCGCACGCACTGGGGAAGGATGCTGGCATAGTAAGGAACAATAAGTGAATACGTCCGAGATGCCGCTAAGCCTTTGCGACTTACTAAATTTTCCTTTCCCCTTCTTGGCTTAGAAACAAGGCCTTGTACGCATGGAGAGCAATCTGCGGTGGCGCTGGTCGTTTGACCGAGGCGCGCAGAAAAAAGTGGTATAAGAGACTCGTGGATATCTTCGTACACTGAAGCCTATCCTCACGCCCGCTCAACTCTTGTAGACATCGACTTTCGCTCTCGCCACAAATCCTCTCTACAAAACCGACAATATGCGCTTTACATCTGTACCAGTTGTTGCCCTTGCGGCTGTTGGCGTAGTCAGCGCCCAGGGTTCTATGGATACCTGGACCCCAGCTGGAACCGGCGACTGTAAGTTTAAAGATAAAACAAAAAAGTCCACTCGTAGGATAAGTATCTAACATCCTCTCAAGCCCGTGGACCCTGCCCCATGCTCAACACCCTCGCCAACCACGAATTCCTCCCCCACAACGGCCGCAACTTCACCCTCGACATCCTCAAGCACGCCCTCAAGACCGCGCTGAACATCAGCGACGACGTCACCGTCCTCCTGCACACCGCCGCCCTCACCACCAACCCCGGCGGCTCAACTTGGGGCTTGGATACCCTGAGCACGCACAACATCCTCGAGCACGATGGAAGTCTTTCGTAAGTTTTCCCCCTTCCCATCCTCCCTTAGCACATATCACATATCTACATACTATGCGATATGAAATAGGATGAAACATAACTAACACACCTTGCCATAGCCGCCAAGACAACGCCATCAACGGCGACTCAACCTCCTTCAACGCCACCATCTACGAGCGCACCCGCTCCTTCTTCACCGCCCCAACCATCTCCCTCCAAATGGCCGCAAACGCCCGCCTCGCCCGCATGCTCGACTCCCTCAAGATCAACCCGCAATTCTCAATCACCCTCCCCGCCGTCGGTTTCAGCCACCTCGAAACCGCCATCTACATGATTGTCTTTGGCGATCGTACCCAAAAGACGGCCCAGAGGGATCAGGTCGATTTCTTCTTTGGTACGTTTCTTGCCACTCCCTTCCTCCCCC